ATCCCCTCATAGTCAGGCGAAGCCACAGCCGTATTCAGAAAGATGACCTGACTTTTTGTAGGCTGCACAGTGAGCACCGATAATTGCCCGAAAGCTGCGACAATGTGGAGGACGCGTGGAAGACTGGTCGCTTCTTGGAGAAACACAGTGGAATCATCGACAAACGAGGAAAAGAGGTGTCGCTCACCGTGTGTTTCGGGCACCTCGATTCCCTGAATATTACCGTCCTGTGTGATCGCTAACGACAGGACCTCCGCCGCCAGGATGAATAGTAATGGCGCTAGAGGGCAACCCTGCCGAATTCCCGAAGTAATCTCCACTGGTTGAAAAAGGAATCCATTAACCAAAAATTTAGCTGTGGTAGGCTCATGTAATTTCTGGATCATGTCAATGACAGGAATTGCAAATCTATACTCTTTCAGGACGTGAAAGAGGAAATTACGTGCCATTGTGTCGTATGCTTTTCAAAGTCCAGCAACAAAATTAATCGGCTACGTTGTGCTTCCAAGTCAGGTTCACCCCGAGCACCTGAGACTGCGGCCAGCATCATCATGACTGTTTTCATCATCTGTAGCCCCTGCACAAAGCCCTGCTGGTTGTCACCGACGGCCTTAGGCAATATTTTTTCAAACCGTGTTGCCATAAGGTTGGCAAATAATTTGTGCCCTGTTTGAATAAGAGATATCGGCCGGTAATCCATCTCATCGACCGAGTTCATCTTTTTAAGAAGTAAAAAAATGAGGCCCTCTAGGAACGAAGGTGGTGGATCCTTTTCATTAAGTAATTTGTTTCCGAGGATGAACATCGCTGGCGCCAATATTGCCTGATTGTCTTTAAAAATGTCATTATTAACCCCATCAGGCCCCGCCGCCTTGTGCCGATTAAGGCCAGCTATCGCTGCGACCACGTCGTCCAAGCGAATAGGCTGAAGCAAGGAGTAATTTTCAATCACAGTCATTTTCCGAGTCGCCGGAATCGTGACGAATGCATCGAACGCCTGACGCATGCGCCACGGTGGTGTATTGTTGTGACTCCGGCCTAAGACGAGCTGCCACTCCGTGGCAAACTTAAAGGCGACTTTGGCATGGCGCGAAAAGACCTCCCCATAGAGTTGGTGAGGGTTGGCTACCGTTTGACCCCGCTCCCAATCAGAAACGCGCTCGAAATCCCAGCGTAGTCGATCCGTCGTACGCCCAAGTCGACGTCCCTCTTGAATCATACACTCCTCACGAACAGTCATCCAATGTGCGTGTACGAGTTGCTGTCGACGTGTGAGACCTGCTCGCGTTTGTCGCTGAATATTATCCACATACCTTTTGCGTCGTTCCTCCTAGCGCTTTCGCCTGGTTTTAATTGCAGAAATAAACCGAAGAACATGATCATCCCATGTACGCGTTGATGGGTCCCTCCCCACATTCCGATCGATCAGCTCCGACAGCAGTGCCTGCTGCACCCACGCCGGGTGCTGAGAGGAAATAGGGTACTGGACAGGACGACCCTTGCGACTGTCCGATGCATTCAACGCCCCCCGCCCTAGAACAAGAGACACCCGTTGATGGTCGGAATCGAGGGCTGGCTCGGTCACCTCCACCCATTTCACCGTAGACTCCCACCCAAGCGGAACATAAAACCTATCTATTCGGCTACCCCTCGATTTGGTCCAGTATGTAAAAATTCCGTCGGTTCTGGAGGATCTTCGACATCGGCCGGGGCCGAAAATATTATGGCGTTTTCGAGCCCGAGTGAAGTGATCAAGTGGCCTAACTGAGAGCTCTCAGGAAGGCCAGTACGCTGGCCACCCAGGCGGTCAAGTTGTGGACTCTGTACTGAATTAAAATCTCCCGCAAGAGAAAAAAATGCTCCCGGACGGCTGGATGGTTTGGCGCATAAATATTTACCAGTAGTACATCTCCGATGTCCACGCAGATGACCCGGGAAGTCCATTGTTCAGGATGCCATGGCCGTGCATCGGCTGCTCGACGAGGGTCGAGTAAAATTGCCACACCCCCAGATTTGTCAGCATCGACACTCCAGTAGGAGAGGGGAGACCCTGGGACATGATGAGGTTGACCCCACCGGCGCTTCCAGGCGTTTTATAACCTCGTAGCTAACTCATCACTATTCACATGCGTTTCTTGTAAGCAACGACCAATTGGGCGCTGACTTGTTGGCATTCTTCGCCAGGACTCAAACCAACCGGCACGTGATTCTGTCGTAAATCCCATCACATTCTGAGTTTCGACTCAAAAAACCTTCTTCTGACGGGAGAATGCTGCACCCCAGTCTGCTAGAGAGCTTTCAGGTAGTTTAAGCCGATTGTACACGCCATATATATCGACTCGAGCCACAAGTGAAGTCGGCGCAGGGTGCGGACTTCTCATGTAACTGCCCTTAGTACTGAGGTGGACTTTGATCACTCATCTGGGTGATAGAGTGCTCAAAATACGTGTCAGGGATCGTCCAGTCATCCTGAGTGACTATCTTCGTAAAAGCCGAGTGATATGCCGGCATGGCTTTCATACCCGCAAAATGACGATGCAGCTGCGACGCAATCCCAGTGTCGTGTGCGGCTTCCTCACCCGTGATAGACTCGATCTCGAAATTGTATAGCAGCACACAAAGGATTCGACACGCTAATTGCACCTTATGGGGTAAATCACACTGTTGAAGAAGGTCGCCGCCTTCATATGTGCTGTCTATTAACCTCCTCCAATCATCCGAACTATCGATGAGAGGCGCCAGTGAGGACCGGGCTATTTGACGCGAAGTCCTTTCCTTCCAAACCATCAAGCCAGCTTTTAGTGACATGGTCAGACGTGCGGTCCCTATACGCGCCGATACGATCGTACATACATTCCTGGCGCCATACAGCGAACCACGCCAAAAGGGTTGCATCGCTCAAAACCTACATAAGTTGGCTCTTGGAAGGGAAGCGTCGGACCACGGTGAGAAGACGCCGAGGTTCCATTTCTGTCAACTTGTTCCAGTTACTGTTACTAGACCCAACCGTTGAAAACCTGGTAAGTGCTGTCCTTGGCCACTCCGACTCAAGGTCGTGCCACATGTCCTGCCAGGACCGAGAACCTTCAACTAGTAAAGTGCTGGGCCTCCTGCCGTCTGGGTGCAACAGGCGTTGCGCTCTCGCACCACGTTGATTGCCCAGTGTCGTGGACTGGTGACGAATTACGATGCTGGTATGGCCACTATCCCCCGACGGCAACACCAACGCCTGTACAGGATTGGTACTGGAAGAAGAAGACCCCTGTGATGGCAGCTCTGGTAGAAATGGTGGAAGGCCGGTTCTAGCGTTTCTGTCCGCTGGGATACACTCACATTTGTCTCAACGGGATCTGGACCCTGCGACTGCTGGAGATCCGTGTCCCCCAAACAGACATCCGAATGAGTCTTCCGCTCGCCCGCTTACGACTTTCATTGATACATGACCTTATCCGATATATGATAGTCCAGCTGCAATCGTTGTTTTTCCGCCGAACTGATCCGCCGAAGATTTGTCGCCAGTAAGCGGAGCTGGGTGTCCGGTGAGCAAGCGGCCACCGTATTCACCAGGAACTCGAGAAGATCAGGATACCGAGACGCCGCCGAGCACCTGAGAATTAACTGAATATCTCGGCGCAATGTGTACGTTATGGCACCCGCACCCATTCGGGTCGATGGATCGTTATGCCACCCTCCCAAGCGGGGTTGAGTGGCAGCACCGACCACTCCTGCCTGACCATCATCTTCTCCTTTCGTTTCCTCATCGCTGATCTCACCTTGCGAAATATCCATGTCCTCACCGCTGTCATCATCGACCGAGACCACAGAGTCGCTAGGTCCAGGTAGCGTGCAGTGAACATAGGCCGAATAGTGGCGGTCTGTGTACCGGAGGATAAGAGGAAAATGCAATGGATCCGCTCTTTTGGCTGTCGCAATCCGCTCGACACATTCCGAGACAGTCAAGATGAGCTGCTCCCCTGTCTCAATCACCCTGTTAGCCTGTGTCATCGAGCTAGTCCGATAGACGCAACAGTGCCAGGGGTGAAGAAAATCACTTGGCTGTCCGACCACGTAGACATCGCGTTGCACAAAATTGGCTGCCGTAAGAAGCATGGCACTTCCGCCCCAGATATAGTGATCGACTGGCACGACTCGCTTTGTGGCACTGGCAGAGTATTCCTCCAGATACCATTTAAAACTGTTTGGTCGACTATCGAAGGGACATCGCCATCCAACCGCGCCGTACAGTCATCAGGGTTGTCAGCCGATCCGCATGGTCAAATCGGTCCATGAGGTGGACTTGACCCGCGTATTTAATAGCCCGTTTCACACGCTCCGCAGCGCTATGCAATAAACTCTCCATTTGCCCCAAGTCATCGTTGGCCAGCGCTTGTACCACTGCAAGCGCCAGACAGTGCCCTGTCACCGGAGTGGCGACGGGACGTAACCGCAACACTCGGAGAATCGAATCTTCGGTAAATAATGCCAAGTCGGTCGCAGCGGGAAGCTTCAAAATCTGCCATTGAAGAATGTCCGCCCCCTGAAGAAGCCGTCGTACTTCAGCACGCTCCTGTTGCCAATTGAGGCGTACCCGGAACATGTGGCGGTGGACTGTGAAGAATGCGCAGCCGCATCTCAAAACACTGAACAGGTCCCGATCGGGAACCGACTCACCCTCGGCAACCCTCTCCTCGCCTCCCCGCGGAGTAATATCCTCCTACGCCATCGTTACTGTACCACCCAACGCCGCATCCGAAGCTGCGTGGACTGCGAACTGGTTGGGCATAGTAGCCCTACGGTTACCGACCGCGTTACCGGCCCCACGCCGGTTCGTGCGATCACGGCGTGACACCGTGACCCAGAGCAGTTTCGGCGCTGGAGTGGGTACGACAGCAGGACTTCCCGTGAGAGCCGGGTAAAAAGCCTCGCCGCCGCTGATACGTGAGCTGGCAACCCGCACACTTGGCGCACAAGCAGGTGAGAGACCTTGGTCTGGCGCGCGGACGTGTACCTCGGGTGGCTGAACCGACGATTCTGCCTCCCTATCCGCTTGGCCCTGCAGGCAGATACGTTGAGTTGCCACAGCCTTCATTTCTTTGAAGCTGTGAAATGGAACAGCGAGATCCTCGATAGCCAATACTTCCCGTTCTGATACAAGCACACACCCCTGACCCTGTAATTGTTCGTCAAAATAACCACATCGTGATATGGGGTGGCCAAGAGTTCCGCACCCCAAGCGCTGCAGCCTCCGCCCTACCGCAGGATGCTTGAGGACGATGTAGGTACCGCACCAGCCAATGCGCACGATTCCGCGAAGGAACTCGGGGCAACCGGCCATCTGGAACGTTAGTCTCCATACCGTGGAGGTGCGAGAGTTAGGTGTGCACGCGTCTAAGCTTTCCAGCTCCACCTCAGCGCTAATATGTTCTGTGTAAAATGCGGCAAGCCGCCCGATGTCCAAGAAACGTGTGACGTTATACAGCAATACGACGTATTCGGTAACCTTCTCTAGTCGTGTGCCATCGGATCCAACCTGTATATTCCACACCGACCCCGCGCACGGAGCATGCGGATTGCGCAGCTGATACAGTTGGCGTCTGAAGGGGACCACCGTGCTCTGGAATTTTTTCGCCGCAGCTCGGGTAAAGAAAAAGAGATGGATGGTCCGTTGACCCTTGTTGTACCTTATAGTCTTAATTTGACTCAGCATCAAACGGAGGTCCTCTAGGTTCACTTTTAATCCTTCCGCCGCCAGCAATACGTCTTCTTTTAACGCTTGAGTATGCTGTCTGCTTGCGGCGATTGTTCCAGATCCATCCAGAGAAAACGACAGTTCCCCTTCCACCTGCAGCTGGATTGTAGTCAGGAATCGTAAGCGGTCCTTCGCAGTAAAAATTCTATTAAGAAAATGAGGCAGATACCGGCTGACGATATGCCCCTCTGCCAAACCCTGAATGATTTTTCACTCATCGTCGCTTCCATTTCGGAGGCGCGGACCCGACCTGTCGCGACCCGTAGACGCACGGATTGCCCTCAGCCTTTTAGTTTCCTCCGCCTCATACTTGGATGGATTGGACATAAACATTTGGTAGTGTTCCGTCCTTGGGCCGGTGGCAGCATATTGACCGGACGCCCGAATACCCGTGACTTTTGCAGCCCATTGATTCAGGACAGGTTTCCTCGCCCACTTGACTTCGCTGTTCATACTCTCGAGAATGGTCGACAGAGACCATGTAGAGTTGTACAAATCCCGACACATGCCCCGGGCGTAATTACTCCATTGTACATAAGAGCACCCATCCACGACGCTCACTTCTTCAAAAGTCCGAGACGCTGAGCCGACTCAGCCCCTTCCTACTTCGGGTCCCGCTGCTTCTGCGGCGGTACTCGATCGGGTGGGATGTTGAGCGCCGCCATCTCAGCCTCAAACAAAGACGCCACAGTGACTTTCCACGCCTCCCGTTGAACCGCCGTTGGAGCGGATAGAAGTTCAGCCGTCACCGCCGCAAATACCTGCTCGTCACTCATTTGCAGAGGTGGAGCGATCACCGTCCCACTTGGACCGGTCATGTCCGCGCTCCGCTGCGTTTGCAGAGGGGTCCTCGCTCCTACACCGCCGCGTGCTGATCTCGTGGGGGTCGGGCCCCTCGAGTCAGGCATCGCCATCTCGCTAGGCTCTGTCGTCGATAGGCCGCCCAATGGTGAACACCTCTCCCTGTTCGCTTGAAGAGTCGCACTGAGAAGAGGTTCCACCCCCTCACGTGGATGATCCCCCGAAGGGACCTCCTTCCCGGTATTGAGAACACCGTCCGAGGATCCGCTGAAGATCTGCGGGCTGCGGCTGGGGGAACTGTCCTCTTCGCCGCCGCGGCGCCGCGTCGAGGGCTCCACCCCCCTGCCCACGACCCCCCGGGTCTGGAGGAAACGGCTCTTGTGGAGCCCCCCCCCAACCCCTACACCTCCAGTGGAATCTTAGATCGAGACAGGATCACCACCCGCCGCTTTCGGTGACGCTCTCGCTAGAACGGACTAACTGCGGCTAGCCCGGGTCCTCAGTCAAATCTGCCCCGTGTGCGGCGATTTGAAGAGTGATCTGAAGGATGTTACACCTCCGCCACAGAGTCATATCGCACCACCTGGTCCCAGATGTGTCTTGGCAATCATATCTATCTACGACTCGTCCCAGATTCGTCCATTGTAATCATCGTTTTCTGCTCCTCGTCCCAAATCATTCAATGTCCCTCTTTTATAGGCAAGATTTCTTTGGCTTCCCCGGCGGCTCAAGGCACGCGTGGTTCAAGGACATTGAAGACCAATCTTGGATTGATGGCCAAGATCGAGAAGGGCGATCTCGGACAATCTGGTCCGAATCGATCAAGCACTCACACTTAACTCGACTGCCAGGGTAGCAGCAACAGCGGAAAAGGAATGGACACAAAATTGAGGGACGGATAAAGTGGTTAGAAGATCTCGACAAGGAGTTCAAGACAAGACCGAGCAAGATCGAAGCGATCTACAAGGCAGATTGGCACGTTTCATTTTGGCGAAACAAGAAACCTATCTGGATCAAGCTGCGCACTTACGACAAGATCGGCCGATTCCAAGACCAGATCGAACCGATCCCAAGGCAAGATCGACGCAAGATTATTATTTGATGAGTAAAGATTTCCGCGCAGCAAAGACCCCGACCCCGAAGATAAATCGAGATCGGTGTGATCCAAGATCAAGATCGCGACGTTTCCAAATAAAAATTGCCGTGACTCAAGATCCAGATCGCAGAACCCCATTTCGTGTTGTGAAGATTCTCGCATCGAAAGTGAACTCTCAACTCCAAACCCTCAGCGAGATCGACATCTCCCAAGGCCATTACGAAGAGCTCAAGCCAGCTCAGCCGACGAGTACACAAGGTGAGCACAAGGCTATACAACAAGGCACGGATCGGAGTACCCCCTTCGTGAGTCGGCAAGTCTTGGTAAGTGGAAGATCGACCCTCACACAAGCGATTTCGTGAGATCTACTTTACCACAACACAGCCTTGGGTTCAGTCAACACAAGGTCTTACCAGTCGTCTGGTAAGAGCGTGCCCCGTTTCGTTCGACGTGTCTCGGACAGCCTCAAATTACCTCCAGTGGCCATCTATACGCCCCGCCAGTTCTGCAGCCACGTCTTCTTCTCCTTCTCCACCCTGATCGTTGACTCCATCGGCTATAAGTCCCACTGCGACGTCCGTGGAATGCTTTAGACCGACGTCTGATGATTGGTGGATGAGATCTGGAGACGGCGGGAGGGACGACCGAGAAAAGAGAAGAAACAGGAGCAATACCGGTGAACGCGCCGTGAAACAGTCGACGTAACGACATGCACATGTAGCGATTGCTGCTCGTGTGCAAGGGCAGTGCCCTGAGGAGGCTATCAACAAATTGGGACTGCAGTACGTTAAAAAACCGGAGTGTCCTACTTATCTTAGACCAGTTTCTATTGAAGTTCAATAAAAAGTTGAATTTTCTTGACCTTTTTTGGTATTTTTTAAATAAGCCTAATGGATAGCCTAACCGTAACACAGGGTTTTAGACAAACACCTATATATTTTTACGATCTTCCAGAAAATTCACGTATTCATCTTAGGTTAGTACTGTACTTCGGGCAGCCGATCTGTCCTGCGCCAGCGGTACGCTAATGTGGCACGGAGTTTCACCGTGAAGGCTGTAACGGGGTACGCTCTTACTAGACGACTGGTAAGACCTTGTGTTGACTGAACACAAGGCTGCTTACTCCCAACGTCACGTACACGTGGTGTGAGAAGTGTTGGAAATGCCTGTTTAGAAACGTTTCTGTCAGTCATAGTCTTAGCAGGTTCAACTGCAAGAACATGTGACAGTGACACCTGATTGGTTGAGTCCACCAACATCTTGACAGATGGTGAGACGAGGCTACGACCGGTGACAGATGGTGCGATGAGAGCACGACGTAGACAGGTGTCGTGACAGGATGTTGACGGACCAGATGGCGGGACGAGGTGGCGGCATGACCGTTGAGCGACATGGCGGCGTCTTATGAAGATGAGCAGGAGGACGGACGCAATCATGTTATGGTCAAGTTGCAGTGCATGTTTATATTATGGTGTTAGCGAACGAAGATAACACACTAATATATTCACTTCTACTTCTACCTCTTCGCACACAAGTGCATTAAACCACTCACGCAGTTTCCAACAAGAAGAAGCACAGCGAAGTAAACAGAACCCGGAAGCTTCGTGTAAGAGAAAAAGTAGAACTGTATTTGATATAGTTATGTTTTTTGAATAAACCGTCTTTATCTTAATCTAACTATAGTAAACTACAATCTCCTATGTGGGTTTCTTGCTCACCACCCATTGCGCGCGCCCAGCAGCGAATGGTGATTAATTCGGTTGATGTAGCGTATACATCAACCAATATGTGGATTACCCAAGAACATTACCCTCTGGGGTAATATTCCGCCAACATCACCTCTTCTCGAGTAATGTTGTTAAATATTATTTAAATGAAGAATATGCAAAAATTGATACATTAGTATCAATTTCATGTAACGGGCTCATCCCGTTACAATCGCCGAGAGCAAAGTCGCAACTCGTGAAAGAGGTTGTCATCTGCATCTCTTACAGCAAGAGAATCGACACGGATCACGTATTGACCGATGAGATGTTCTATCACTAGCGAGGATAAGTGTTGTTGCGCCAACAACGACCTTTATCGCAATGGTGTGAGCCTGTAAGAAGTGTGCCCCATTACATCAGAGGTGATTCTAGAACGAGCTTGTCAGCTAGCTTTGTCTGATCGTCTCTTTTTGTGATCCGGTCTACTTTAGAAACGGGTCACTCAATGTGCGACGCTCGCATGCCACCTGCACGACATATGCGCTTACTTGTTCTTACCGCTAGTGAGAATGTCATAGAACGTAATGGCTAGATTGCAATAGGTAATGGCTAGAGTGCAGTAGGTCTGGACAACTATAAGGGAATAACAGCTTCCCAGTAACGTCCACCAAGCAGGAGACTCGATACGTCGAGAGGGTGCAACTTGTACACAACAAAAGCTATGCGTACATTGTCCTACTTGACGGTCACACCGCCCAACCTCGCATACGCGTACCGATCGATCGCTTCGCTGCAAAACGCAAGACATGTGAATACATATTCTAATGTGTGCGGTTTGCACAACCTCATTCGCAATCAAGACGTCGCAAGAAAGCTCCATTCAGCACCAAGACCTATCTGTACCCGTCGACGTGCTCAATAACGGCTCAGCACAAGAAAACCCCTCGCATCCGAGGCGGTCAATCGGTCAATCGGTCAACCCGGTGCGAAAGCTTTTGATGTCCCAAAACGGCGCTTGTCACAATCGCTGCTGCACAAAAGACTATTTCCTCTGATCCGCCGGCACATGTGGGAGCCTGAGGGACGTACTCAGACCCGCCGAAAGCCCGCGACCTCGAGCCCAATTTTATCCAATACCACGGAACCAGTTGTGCTGAAAAAACGGGTGGCTCTCGCCGAGCTGTGCTGCGCTGCGCCGGCAGTCGCTCCGCAGTCGACTGGGCCACAATTCGTCAAGATGTTGGTGTGGCAGGACGTGTTCACCGAAGATGAGGTGATGTCGGACTCGCACAAGGTGTCGCCGTGCAAGGACATGGAGGGCAACGAGGTCGCGGGCATGTTCCAGGTCGAGTCCAAGACGGTGGCCAAAGGCGCAGACAACATTGACATTGGCTGCGGCGACGCCTTTGGCGGGGACGACGAGCAAGTGGACGACTCGGTCGAGACGGTGAACAACGTGATTGACGACTCGATCGGCTTTGGCTACATCGAGACGGGCTTTGAGACGAAAGCCGAGCTCAAGACGTACCTCAAGTCGTACTTCCGCAAGACCATGAAGCACCTCAAGGCCACGGGCGCGAGCGACGAGGCACTTGCCCAGTTCAAGAGCGACGCGCAGGAGATTGTCAAGTTCCTCGTGAGTATGTTCAAAGAACTGCAGTACTACATGTTTAAGTCGTGCGACTCGGAGGCTGGACTGGCCTACGCCTACTACCCCGAAGGCGCGGTCGCCCCCACCTTCTGTTACATCAAGTGGGGCCTCAAGGAGGTGAAGTTCTAAGCGCCTGCAAGCGATTGCAGATGGCCTCGCGCTCTGGTCGATGCCAGCGGACTCGATCTGGACTTGCAGTAACGCTTTAATTCATACCTTCTTGTCGTGTATCTATCTGATACGCTCTATCTCCGTTGCAAAAATACGTCGCTCGCCCCGCCGCCGTCCTACCGCTCGACAACAATAGCAACGACACTGAGCCCCAACACTGTGAACAGCACGGCCAAGATCTTGAGCGTAAAGACCCGAAAGTCCAGCTGCTCCTCTGCCTTGCCGACGTCTTTGTCCACGTCGCCGACGCCGTGGTCGTAATGAAGTGGGATGAAGTCCACGCGACGGAATCCCTGTGTGTTGCGAAGGTGTTCATTCTCCAGACGGAAGAAGCTCCAAAAGGTTCGGCGGAACAGCTCGAGCACGATCGTAAAAGGCTGTAAGTACAGCGGAAGCCAGCGAGCCGCACCGCGCGGGGGAATGAGCGTGAGCGTCCACGCAAAGCGCAAAAAGAGGTCAGCGACGATGGCAGCGTAGTAGACCCACTTGCGCGAAAACATTTGCGAGTCGCCCAGGAACTTGAACCGCGGTCGACCCAGACCCCAGTCCATTGTCACGTCCCAAATCCACGTGTACAGCGAGCTTGCCGTGAACAAGAACAGCCACACGACCACGAACATTCGCACGTGCATGTGCAACGCAGTCTCGTCGCTCTCGTCGTCGTGCAAAGGGTGGAAAAGACCAAAGAGCACGACCACCTGCGCGAGGGCGTACTTGGCAGCATTGGGCAAGTGCGGCCACCACGTCTTGGTGTCGTACACGCGGCGGAGATTTTGCAGAAACCGCCACCACAGCGGTAACACGCACACCAATGGCACCACCATGTTCAGGTAGTATACGTTGTCAGCACAGGTCTCCTCAGTTGCATCCACTGACAAAGTCTGCGGATCCTGTGTGCCGACACCACTCGGAATCACATCTTTGCGCAGAAACTCCTTTGTCGTGAAAAAGCAGACTGACCAGCTGACATCTTGCATCACTTTGACCGTGCTCGTCAGGTAGTCGCCCACAAAAGTGTGGAAAAACGACACCGGGTATAGTGGCGAACACACGACTTCCCACAACGTTCGCAGCATACCAAGCTGCTGTCCCCATGGACGGATAGCGTAAAAGTAAAAGGTGTACAGAAAGAGCGCCAGCGGATAGTACCCACGGTGTAGCAGCTCTTCCGGGAAGTAACCGTTCACGACCTTGTAGTAGAGCAACACGTTCGCCAAGTACGCAATGGTCATGTTGGTGGCATCGCTGAACACCTGCGGGTACGACTGCGCGCGTCGTGGGTTCAGCTCAAAAATGTACCGATAATTGATTCGTGCTGCGCGCCACGCGTAGAGCGACACTCCGACTAGCCAGTGCAGCAAAAGGAGACAGCCAATGCCACGGTAGACCGGATACGCACGGGTCCGTACAAGATCAATGAGATGATCTTCCCGTTCATTATGAAACGTGGGGACCACGAGCGAGTCCCAGCACACCCATATGAGCAAGACAAGACACGATCCACTCTTGATGCCGAGGTAAATGTGCCCCCAGTTGACGAAATCCTCCTTCTTTGTCATGAGCGTCGCGACTGCCACCGTCACGTTGCCATCACAGAACCACTCGGCAAATGATCGTTCCACTTGTTTCAAGAGTCTCAAGCACGCACGGGCTTTGGCAAACTCAAGCGTCTGTAGCTTGGCCTTCTGCGCCTTGCGCTTGTCGGCCGACACGCGCGCGAGCTTGTCGTAGCGCTTGAACAGCTTGACAAATCCAGTGTAATTCAGCACTGCAAAGTTGTGCAGGAGGTTCAGCATCCGGTGCAGCTCCACGAGCGAATTCTTGAGCGATTCCTGAGCCGTTGCCGGTGCGTCTGCTCGATACTGAGCGTGCAAGTGCTCGAGCTGCTCGCCCAGCTGAGCTGCGTGCCGCTTGTACGCGTGCTCCACTTTCGCGTACTCGCACTCGAGCGCGTCTTCGAACGCGACGCGCGGCGAGAGCAGCGACTGGAGCTGCTCCGAGTCAGCGGCCGTCAGTGGCGCCCCAGAGCGTTCCAGGAACGTGGCGCGTTTACAGCCAATGGCTTTTGCGATGCGCGGGCTATTGGGCGTCGTCAGGGACGGCCAGTGGCGCTCCTTGTGCGGCCTGTGGTGCTCGTCACACGGCCGGCGGCGGCTCGTAGCGGCCGCTTCGATCTCGAGCTGGTGCTCGAGCATCTGCTTGAGGCCGTCGTAGTCCACGTAGTCGCTGCGCCACTCGGCGACGACGTTGTCCCGCAGCCGCAGACTAAAGTTCACCATGACGCGCGACGGAGGAGTGGCCGGCGCACTTAGCGGCCAACGAGCTTATCAGCGCACTTAGTGATAGCCGCACTTAGCAGGGGCCAACGAGCTGGTCACGTGTTGCAGGGGGACGCACAGACAGACGAGCGGTAGGTGCGACAACTGCTATCGAGGTTTTTCAGCACGGCGCAGTGGCTTCACAGACGCTGCGACCCCATCGACACAAATTGCTGCGTGCCGTAGTGTTCGTATACACTTTCGCAGCAGCGTAATCGTTCGATCCGGATCAGTCCCCAGAGTATACACACATACACACCACACTACCTCTCTCTCTCTCTCTCTCTCTCGCATCAGCGTGATATAGTTAGATAAGGATCAGTCAGTCTCAAAAGTGTATACGCATGTCGGCGACCAGGGACGAAGACGTAGCAGCCCACCGCTGCTGACTCGAGCCGACCAAAAAGCTCCTCCCGTCCGAGCAGCAAACATGTAGCCATCTACTTCCGCAGCGCAGCGAGCCGCATGGACAGCTCGTCCTGCGACTTCTTGTCGCGCGCGGCCTCTGTCACGGGCACGTGCGTGCCCACGAGCCCGGCCGAGTCCAGTTCACCGGCCACCTTGAGCCCGTTCTCGTCCGCGACCATCTGAATGAGGTCGTCCACCTGGTCGGCAGGCGTCGACATGGCCATGCCGCTGCTCATGGCGCCCTCCATGTAGGCCGAGCGCACGTCCATGTCCTCAAAGTGCTGCTCGAACTGGTCCATGGTCTGCGAGATCTTCTCGACGTTCATGGACTCCATGACGGCGTCCATGCCCGCGACCACGCCGCCCATGTTGGCCTTGAGCTGCCCCATGCTCATGGCCGTCTGCACGCGCGCCGCGACGGCGTCCATGCGCGACGCGAGCTGCAGGTAGCTGAGCGCCTGGTGCTGCTCGCGGATCGCGTTCTGCGCGTAGATCTTGGCGCCCTCCATGTTGCCCTGCGCAATGGCCTTCTTGAGCTTTGTCTTCTGCGCCGCCTCGTTCTTCTCGCACTTCTTCGAGTTGCGCAGCAGCGTCTTGGCCGTGAACTTGATGTTGAACAGCTCGTCCTCGAGCGTGGACCGGCGCGAGAAGAGGCCCATCATGGCGGCGACGACGACGACGACGACGACAACGACGACGAGGAGGTTGAGGAGGGGGAGGAGACTGGAGGGGGACGTTGACGGGCAGTCGGTGGTGGTCTTGAACTCGGTCGCTCTCGGTCTCTGTCGGCGTGTGTTGTGGAAGTGTGTGACGATACCTGATACCTTTTTCTTTTGAGTGCACCAAGTGGTTCTGAGGCTGTGGCTGTGTTTGGGATTGCTGCGAATGTACTGAGTTGAGGTAGAGAGAGAGTGGTGTCTTTCTTTTTTTACAGCTGCGTTGGTTTGACGTTTTTGTTGAGGGACTCAAACGATGTGCTGTGGGGATCAGACGCTGCATAACGGCTCTGATCGCGTGACAGGATAGAGCAGAACGCAAGAGCCGGATCGGGTGCTATGCGCAGATCGATGTGCCGCATCCTTGATCATCAGCGTGCATGCGCCCATAGCCGTCTGAGTACGTGGATTTGCGGTCCGGCACGAACCACAGCGCCGAATATACGACACGTGCGACTGACCCTGACGAACGATACCCTCTCTACCACAGTAAGACGAGCTGACACAGTTTCATCTTAGGGCAGAATGCTGTCCCCGCTGGCTTCTGCCCATACCAGCCTTGGTCCCTGATGTACTCTCGGTAACAACGGGCTCACGTTCCCGCCAGCTTGTACGTGGCAGTCAAACGCCTGTCAAGCATATCTAAATATCGAGCGAGAAGGCAACTCGTTTGACGTAGTGACGAGAAGCCTGGTCGCTAGCTGCCGATACCTAAAACTCAGCCTTCGCTATTGTCAATTGCTCAACCAAACGGGGCGATCTGCTGAGCTGGTCGTCCCTCCGACCGCTACGGAGACGAAGGGGAGCAACAACATGTCAAAATGAGATCGAGGGACGGTTGAGAACTGGAAGCTGATGGAAGCTAAGAGCACAGCTGTACCTGGTATCACGTGCCGATTTCGGAGCTTCATAGTCACATCCACGATATGAAAAGCAAGTGCTCGGCTGGATCTGGCAGAACATGATGGTATCGAAGAGGCAAAGAAGACAAACGAGGACGCGAAAGGTAGTGGTCCAGTTGACAGCGCGGCATTCGTCAGAGAACGGTTCCGTCCAGTCTTGGAAAGGACAATGTTTCGCGCGATGCCGGCTTTTCGCCAACGCATACGAGGACAGAGCCCAGACTTACAGAGCTCACTACAATCATTGATTGACAGTCGCACCGCACCCAGTGCCCAGTTGACCCTTAGCTTGTGGTTCAGTAGGTGTCCGTTGCGATCTCATGCAAATTCTGGGAGCTGAAAGCTGTTGATTTACATGCTTTGCATCCTATCGCGCTGGATATTCGCGCCACCTTTCGGCCGAACAACCTCTATCAAGACGTGCAGGTCTTGCGGACTGCAACGTCAACCCACCGGTCATTGGACGAGGTAAGAGGAGCGCCCAATTATTTATGACGCATTTTCTGGAGGGTACAACTTTGCAAAGGACCAACTGGTCGGGGGGAGAGCACGAAACGTGTGTTCCAAACTTTAGGACTATCTAAACTCTTAGCTGACGTGTTCGCGACCGCGAATGATCACGGAGGAAGAAGGCGGGGAAGGGGGGGGGACCGACCCCTCCCACCTTCAACATCGACACCGACAGTGCGACCCGATCCCGAGGCTTTTTTTCCTGGATCGCGACACCCGAAAACGACGTGCAATCGATGGGCTGCACCAACACATACGTCACACCACCAGCACCTCCGCCGCCCTAAACCAGTGCCAACTCTATCGGAACACCTGCAGCTGCACGAATCGACAAACAGCCCACTCACTAAATGACTGCATCCATCCACTCATACACACACACGCACACACGTACACGTACACACACACGTCCACGTCCACGGCCTCGACGGCCCTTCTCCACCTCCGCATCCTCATTCTGCATCTGTCTCCTCCGCCCGCACGAAAATGAACTCGACGCCTTCCGAGTCTGCATCTTCTTTGCCCTCGTCCGCCCCCGCCCCACGTGGTCCCCACAGCCCGAACGGCATCACGGGCCCACTGGCCCACAAAGCCGCTGTACCCACGGAGCGCATTGACGTCATCGACGCGTTCCTCCAGCAGCGCGTAACCCATCGGCCGCTCGTGGGCATTGTCTGTGGCTCGGGCCTCGCGGGCCTCAGTCAGTGCCTGTCGCACCAACAGGTCATTCCCTACAAAGCCATTCCGCAGTTCCCGTGCTCGACCGTCGAGGGGCACCCGGGGGAACTCGTGTTTGGCGACCTCAATGGCCTCCACGTCGTGTGCATGCGCGGCCGTTTCCACAGCTACGAAGGCTATGCCCTCCACGAGACGGCGCTCCCGATCCGCGTCATGTACCTCCTCGGGATCCAGTACCTGATCGTGACGAACGCGGCCGGGGGGCTCAATCCCGACTTCCACGTCGGCGACGTCATGATCCTCACGGACCACCTGAACATGCCGGGGCTCTCGGGGCAGCACCCGTTGATTGGACCCAATGACGCGCGCTTTGGCGCGCGGTTCACGCCCCTGTCGGACTGCTACGACAAGCAGCTGCAGGCGCTCGCGCGTCGGGTGGCCGCGGACGTGGGGCTCGCGCACAAGACGCGCTCGGGCGTCTACTGCTTTGTGTCGGGGCCGACGTACGAGACGCCGACCGAGTGCCGGTTCCTCCGCCTCGTGGGCGGCGACGCCGTGGGCATGAGCACTGTGCCAGAGGTCGTCGTGGCGGCCCACTGCGGACTGAAGGTCTTGGGGCTGTCGCTCATTACGAACAAGGCGCTGTTTCCAGGGGACGAAGGAGAGGGCGCGTCGCATGCCGAAGTCCTCGAAGCGGTTCAGGCCACGCAGCACGACATCGAGACGTACGTGCGGGGCCTGATTGCCGCCATTGGTAAACACCACAGTATGTTGTAGACCAGCGCTTTGGGCGTCCCGATGGGCTTCAGGTTGCGGAAGCCGTTTGTAGACTAGCGAACAAGACATCGACATGCATCGCGGTCGGGTATAGTCGCAGTTGCAGGTGTACCCCCTACTTGGTCGGGCATGACCTCAGGAGCTCAGATAGCATGAGGACTGATAGTGGACATTTGTAAAGGTACCGCTCAGATGGACACGCGGTGCAGTGCTATGGGTTCGGGAGGGAGCTACGAAGAGGTCAGCCACTGTGTGCGCTTCGCGTCGAACGTCAGTGCTAACGTGGAACCAAATACACTGCATGTCTGCCGTGAGCGCCAGAAGCGCATTGCGTGTGCGAGCTCAGAAAGTAGTGCAACACGCGTCTCTGTCCGATAATGAACTCGTGCCATGTACAGGGGGGGGGCGGTGAAGAGAGGCGGATGAGAAACCCCATGCTTGTAGCACAGCATGACAATTGTGGATACTCTCCTCGAACATCAACGTGTCCAGTTTCACGCTGGAAATGCTGTTGCCTGATGACCGATTGGGTCTGTCTTGCCAAGCGAAATGCTAATGGGTGATGTCATTGCCAAGTTCGGGGCGTGAGCCTGTGCTACTCGTGATCCGTTTCCTAATTTCTACGAGGGTGTCGGAGAAGAATGAGTCTATCTGTTCCGCTGGATGGGCCTACATATCCTGCGTCAAAGGCAGGACGTCCAACCCGTATTGAATTACAGATACCCTATAGAACGGAATACGTAGAAAATATGGGATGTATGGCGGGTCGGGCAGCCGTTGCCGGGTCCGTCAAATGTACTCTAAATATAGACTACGTACGATTTTAGACCATCCTATGGTCTACGCTGCTGGACCCACGCGCTCGTTCCAAATTTGACGAGCTTTGATGCATCTTCGGCTTGTAGAAGCCCAGATCCGATTCTTGGACTTTGGTAATCAGGACATTTACTAAACGCATCTGATTCTACGA